TGCATGATTGAAGGTAGTGAGCATCTTTCATATATATATGAAGGATAGAGAAACTGATGAATGACAAAACTAGGGAATTTTGCATATGGAGGGAAATAGAAAAAGGTCTGGATAGAAATTCACAAAGAGATCTTATATTCTTCGAGCAGGAGATTCACAGCAAGAAAAAAAAGAGCAGACAGAAAGGCTTCACTAGCAAGAATAGTCTGGAGACGCACAAACACAGCAGGCTTAAAAATGACGAAGTCACACAGCTTGAGGTAGACAAACATTTGAATGGTCTGTTAGAAGTTGATGGCTTAATAAGTAAATAAAGATCATCCATGGCTGGGAGATGAACAGGCAGAAAGGAAGAGTAAAAGGCAGAGTGAGAAAGAAACGGCAACTTGTCTAGAGGAAAGTAAAACTGAAACGCCTTTTTCAGCTTTCCAAGTTTTACTATACAAGTTAAACACACACACACACACACACCACACACCTCACCCATCAGTTCTATACATAATTAATTGCCCCTAAGCCCTATGAAATTAATAAGACTGTGGTATAAGTCATTTCCTTTGTATTAGCTGTACTTTTCAACTGAAGTATCATGTTGACTAGAAGTCTATGTGAATTCAAATGTCTTGGAAACTTTTAGCATACCCAGGAAATTGTGGGGTAAAGCTTGAATGTGCAATTTCCATGGAAAGGTCAAGTGCAGAGGAGATATGGTACATCCGTGTTTGTAACCACAGGACCTTCCCAATTCCTCCGTCAACATTAAATGTCCCTAACTTTATTTACTGCAGAAGAAAACAATTCTTCACATAGCTCAGCTGTAAAATCAAAATCAGTAATGGTATTTATTGGCATCTCCACTAAGGAGGCAATCCTAAACATGCTTACTAGGGAGTAAAAAACTCAATGAATGTACTGTGATTTCTTTTCAAGTTAACATGCAGAGATATTGCTGTTGTCACAGCTGCAGCAACAAGTCCACCGCAGGAGAGTATGTCCTTGGGGACATTCTGAAGTCTTAATTTTTAGGCTCCATGGACATGGCCTAACTTAACTTAGCTGATGCTGCAGCACCAAAGCAAAGGCTGTCTTGCATAGAGCAGCAAGCTGAACAATTTATTAAAAGCTAGTATCCAAAACGAAGTAAAAGTACTGAAGCCCAGTTCACTTGAGCAGCACTTGGTGGAAGCTAGTCTGCTGTCAAAAGAAACTCGGGCAGAAAGCTCTGTATCATATAACAATAAATATCCAAAGTAGTTAATATCTCATCCCACCCCCATCCTGCTGAAATATATTGTTCCCCTGCAGAGGAACAGAGGCTCAGCTGGGAATGCAACACACAATTATTAGGTTTGCCACAAGGACCTCTCAATTTTATTTAAATACATTCAAATCCTGCATTTCTTGCAGCTATGAAGCTCTCCTTACGGCTGAAGACAGAAATGTTTGCAGAGCGATAACACATTTCTTGGGTAATGGAGTGCTAGGCGATTACTTCTCAGTTGAAGATTCACACCTGAAGCACAATTAGAGGTATTGCATACACTTGCTTTTCTCACAAGCAATTTCAGGCTATTTCCAGCCTAGGAATTAAAGAATCACAATGCTTGCGAAGAAGCCTATGATTGCTGAGACATTCAGTAGCCACAAGGCAAGTCAGTCAATCTGCTATGCCTTGATCTATGAAGCCTTTTGTAGAACCTCCTTACCATAATGCATTAGGTGTGTGCTGAAGAAAAGAGGACTGCTGATTACCTAGAGAAGATTCCACATTATGGTTCATGTAATGGTAGAAAATCATGCAAAGTGCCACCGGATGGTGGAGATGGAAAAACAGCCAAGGCATTATTCCCTCAACAAAATACCTTGCAACACCCAGCAGGCAGCTTATAAAGTTACCTTACGTGTTTCCATAGCAAAAAAGTTACTCACAGTCTGACAGCTTAACCTAAAATTGCATAGGCTCAGACTTCAAGAATGAGGGATAAAGAGGGACTCTGGCTTCTGCATCCCCAGCACTAGTTATGCGCATACAGTTTGACAAACAGAAACTACAGCCCTAACTCAGAGGACGTTTACTATACATGCCACTTGCAAATTCTTCTGAAATACTAATTTGCAATGCATGCTCTGGCCAACAGCAACATTACCTGGGCAGTGCAAGTGAAAAGAAGCTGTACCATCAGCAGCAGCACTAAGGATAACATGCAAAAACAAAGCATCTGATAGCAGGTTATGGATTAGGCATCAAACACAAGAACACACAAACTGATTTGACACACAAATGATGCGGGGGGGGGGGACTGCTTTCACGGCAAACATACTTAGCTTCCTCCACTACTTCCACCTCAGTACATGCTGCAATTTGTACATTGGAAGGTGCTCCTGTTGGTTCATCGGTGTTCAACTCACCATTGGTCGAGTTTACCACCTTAAAAGAATAGAAACAAAGCCCCAACATTAATATGAAACATAGCCCCAGTTTGTGTCACACGCATTGGCACATTAAATTAAGTGAAAATGAAACTTGGTGCTCAGAAAGGAAGCTCATTCTATGACCTGGGTTGTAAGTTCTCTGCAAACATTCCAGCAGTTTTTGGTTTTTTCGTATTAGGATATACTTAAAAAATGTGTGAGACATAGAATGAATTCTGCAGACTACTAGTTTATGAATCTTAAGGCATTATTTTTTACACCTCTAGCCTAATTTGGGATCAAGAGGGTTCCAGTGACAGAGAAGATCCAGAGTGCTCTGAAATAATCAGTGGACGCATCATCAAAATGAAAGAAAGCAGTGCAGGTGGTAAAAATATACATATAGTGTGCATGGCCAAAGTTTGCCTGTATAAAACTGTCTGAGGAGTGATGGCTTGTCTCTCTCTCTCTCTCTATTACATATAACATACACACTCCAACTACAGAGTGAAATAACGATTGAAGCAGGGACCTACATGTGAAGAACATGGTCTGTCCACAAGTTTTACTCTACTTAGAGAGAGTAAAGCTTTGCTTTTTTCACATGTATGAAGGTAAATGGACTACTAAGAATCTGTGGGCTATTAGTTTTGTTTGCTTATTTTCAACACTACCTTGGAAGCATTGATTTCTCTTTACCAAATGTTCAAGCAATTCTGATTGGTGAGGGGAGGAAGCAGATATCAGGGTAGCTGTAGCCAGATACCAGACAGCAGCAGCCTCCTTGTATACTCTCCACAAATTCTCATCTATTGCCTTATTGCCCATTTCAACTTGCTTCTATTATCCTGACCACTTTCAGATTTCTTGTTTCTGAGTTCTAAAACAGACTTTGCATACTCATGTATGTATTTATTGCAGGGAGGTTGTCATGCAATTCCACTGAAGTCTCAGAACAACTGCCTTCCTGTTTGAGATTCTGGGTCCTCTGGTCTGAAACTTTTTGCTCCCAATGTTTGAGGCTTTTTAGTTTACTTTTTAAAAAGTGAGTAAGTGGGTGGGGAAATCACAAAGTTGTATAAAATCATGCATGGCATGGAGAAAGTGGATGAGATGAACACTAGGGATCAACCAATGAAGCTGTCAACAATAAATGAACAGTCAACAATAAATAAAGTTCCTGGTACAGAATAATAGAATACAAGAAAGAGTAAATCCTATTGTGCTATTGGGTGAAATTTAACTCTTAAGAAAATAAAGGTAATAGCTTTATGAATAGTTCTAAACTTCTACTTTCCTCTTTCTCCCCCTTTGTAGTACATAAATTATTTTATTTTTATTGCTTTAATGATAATTACACCTTATTTATACCTTTGTTCTACCCAATACTTTTATTTATAGCATTTGTTTCTAAGACACTGTGGAAATACCATAAGCATGGTAATATCAGTTACAAAAGAAAAGTATCTGGAAGACACTAAAACAAAATCTGGAAAAAAGAAACAAACTCTGTCTAAAGAATCAACATAAGACAAATGGTGACATCACATTTGCCTACCAAACACTCTCATACAACACCAAACTGAGGAAATCTGTGTCTCGGAGATATTCTGAGTACAGACAAAGTTCTCATACTGTGCTGCCTCATACCTTGTGACAGGCAATTCACACATTTTAGCTGAAGCATCAAGTTAACCAAATATGCACCAGAATGTGGTGCATATGAACGTTACAAGAAAGGGACTGCGCTAGAAAATATGTGTGGAACAGAGAAGGACAATACCTGTACTGATCCCCCATGCCGATCTGAAGTTAAGTGAGATTGCAGAAACAAAGCATTGGATTGTCGCATTGGTGCCATTTCCCATTCTCCGCGACGTTCTGATGCAGACTGCATAGGCATTTGCAAGCACAGAGCAAAAAGAGAGGAGGGAAGGCAAGGGTAAACCAGAGCAAAGCAATGCTTTATTTTAAAAAGCACATTGTCAGCTCGCTGCAGGATGGGCACCAAGAAGCAAAGCAGTGAAGAAGTATTAATTTTGACAAGTCTACTCCCAACCGTTTGCACAGAAGCCAAAAGCAGTAAATACCAAAGTGGACTTCCTATTGGGGGGGGGGGATCCAGGGCAAGTCTCTGTTATCAAACATTTTAAAGGTTAGCCAAGCCTACTGGCAGTCACACTATCTCTCACACATGTGTACACAGTTTATAGATATATACACACGCATCATAGGTCCAAGAATCAACCTCTCTTCTCAGCCCAGTGCTGCAGTAGAAATGCAGATCATTGCATTACAGCGATGGGTAGAGAGATCTAAAGCCATCCCAATACTGCAATGGGGAATAAAGTCCTATCTTGCAAAAAGAGTCTCTCCTTCCTTCAAAGCCTGACATTCACCATTATATATCACTCATTTCAAATATACAGTAAAGCAGATTAACAGGAAAGATTCTTAAATACAGGATAATATTAATTAATCAGCCTTCCTACCACCCCAATCACCCAAGAAACAGAATTAACAGTCTTTTCTCTGTATGCCCCTCTTTATAAATTAAAGTTTCAGTAAAGATTTGAATGGAAAGTTATAGTTGAAACAATGTTATGCTAACAAACCTGATTTCGGAGAGGCTGCATCGATGATCGATCCCTATGTGCATGGATGTCTCTTGTTACAGATGGTCCAGACTCCACATGCATGGAACCCACTGGAGTGGGCTGGAAAAGAAACACACACACAAACAGAATTGACCCACCAGGTGGCTCTCAAACAACCCGTTGGCTTAACAACTAGAGCAGATAATTTTTGAGTAGAAACCAAACAGATGCTGCCCCCATATCTTCAATTAATGAACTTGCTGCTTTCAGCCAGTAGCCTACAGCTTCTTTAAGACAAAGAGCCACACCTGAAATCTCATGCTATCCAGCTGGCCACAAAAATGCACATGTTTAACATCTACATGAATGTGGTAGATGCCGCAATGCTGTTCTGAACTTCTCCTTGTTCTGGACACTCCCCCACCTTCCTGGAGGTTTAATCTTCCCCCGATAATGATGAACAAATGTCTCTTCAGAACATTTGAGGTTTGCTCTTCGACCCCCTCTTGGTCTGAGAGGAGAGTTTGGCAGTCAGATTGATTCACCCACCCTCACCCACTGGTCACGTTTGACCCTCTAAAGGATGGGGAGATAACAATCTGCCTGCAGCCTGGAAAAGTTCCTCAAGTTCCACATGGCTGAAGGCAGGGAACAGATATGTAACATGGTAAGAATCTTATGGCGAATTTAGTTGATAAGGGAAAGGAGAACAGGCAACTAAGTCATACTAATAAAGAAGTGGAAATGAGCACAAACAGTTACAATCGGTCATATCTGACATACTACGGTTCTGGAGGAGAGCCAATAAAATATGCATTCTGTCATCCCTCCAGTCACAATGCAAGAGAACCAATTGCACCTACATTACAATACTACTTGTTTGGAAAGACACATTTAGTAACTTGAACAAAGAAAAATGTTTGGAGCCTTGAACACGTATATGGCTTTGCAGTAAAGTTTTCAATGTACAGCAAAAAGGTCATATTGTGTTCTCAGTTCATCATGAAGTGATTACTTGCAATGTAACTGGCATTTAAAAGGGACATTATAGAAAGAGCAACAGTCAAGAAAAAAAAAGGAATATGTCACTCAGCTCCAACATACAATTGGCCTGCCAACCCAGTCGTAGGCGTAATCAAAGGTGAATCCTCTCTTTTCAAATAACTCTGTGAAGATTGTTCGTAGATAATCATAGTCTGGTCTCTCGAAGAAGTCTAATCGTCTGACATAACGAAGATAAGCTGCCATCTCCTCTGTTAAAGGGAATTAGGAAGAAGCAACATCAGATAATCTGTTCAGAAAGAAGTAGAAGCAGAATACATTTCAACATTACCTACTGGTCGGATTAATCCCCTAAGATATAAACCTACAAAAGTAAATGAGGGGGTCAACAAACCTGTGCCACTGGTAGGATGATATTCAGTCACAATTTCCAAATGGTTCTCCTTACTACACTTGAGGCCATTTAGACATATGAAAAGGCAAACTTTCAGGTAGCAAAAATATATACTGGAGAGCAGTTTAGAGAGGAGGAAGCATTTACACCAGACCTCCCAATTCTCTCAGTGGACATCAACATAAAAATACACATTTTTTTCAACAGTTCAGGGTAGGTTAAAGCATGTTTATATTGAATAGATCGGCTCCTGTCTTCAAAACAAGGGCCCACAAGCCAGATACAAAGAGAGATAAAAGCAAATGAAAATAATGAAGAATAGCTGCATTTTAAGAGCTATTTGAGTCTAGGTCCTTGCCACAACGTTCTGTGTCCTCAAACAAGGACACAAATGTTTCAAACACTAGCTCAACATACCATATTCTTCTGTGTATGAGATGCTATTTCCCCCCTATTTTTTCAAGTTTAAAATTGGGGGTCGTCTTATACACGGATAGTGCATATGGGGGATTTCTTTATTTGGAGTCCCCAAAAATGGGGGTCTTGTTATACACGGGGGCATGTTATACACAGAAAAATAAGGTATGCTGCTCAGAAGTTTAAAGGGCTACTTGATTTAAATCAGTCACAACCTGCTGGTCTTGAATGTTCTTTGAGGTACAGCACCTCTGCTGTGCTACATATGTATAATGATGAGCAATATGACAGCTATCAAACAGCAAAGAGGTATTTCTTCCCATTGTTAATTATGTTGCACTTGCATGCTTGTCTAAAAGAAAGAGTGGGTGCAGGTAATTCTCTCCCTGACCCTCCCCGATGACATCAATAGCAATCAGATTGTTTGAAGTCCACATAAGTCTAAAATAGAGTATTTTCAGGTTCATCACACTTATCCAATGACTCACTGACTTAAGAAGCCTATTCAGAGCCTCTACTGCCTCCCTAGGATTCAGTGAAAACGAGACAGAGTTGGGTGCTAGTGTGCTGACAACACCACACACCTAGTCTCCTAAGAACCCAAGGAGGACTGGAACCACTAAAGGCAATGCCCATGAGGTCCACATTGGAAGATGTCCCAGATGGACCCCAGCCCCAGTCCATGATACTGGATATTACCACTGAGAGTTCTAGAAGAAACAGTGAAGAAAAACATTCCTCCCATTTCATTTTCTAGCAATCAAGGCACTTTCTATCCTTGAAATGGGTCAACAACCATGTTTGCTAACTTGTCACTCAGCTACTCACATCACCATTCTAGGGCCCTACCTATCAGAAATAATCAATTCCAAAGAAGCGCATGGAGGACTGTAGCCATACGCAGGCTACAAAAGAAAGCAGGCTCTCTAGTACATAGCAGAGGTGTTGTGAACTTGACCAGACTGATTTACTCTGAGCTAGGATTGGCACTTATCATTAGCCAGGTGGCTGCAAGCAATCATTTAAAACCAGGGAAGGGTAACCTGTGGCTCTCTGGGTGTTGATGGACTCCAACTACCAGAAGTCACAGCCATTATGGTCAATGGTCAGGAAGGATGAAAATAGTTACCCAACAACACTTGGAGAGTCACAGGTATCACTGAAATTTACAGCTAACTCTGTTTGCCATACATTGAACAAAGAATCCAAGCATACCAGTAGGAACACATTTGTTCCAACACTTGAGCTCAGGAAATGCTGCTTTAACAAGAGCCTGGTTCCTATTTTCAGAAGTCACCTTGCACAGAAGATACACCACCCACTATGAAACTTACCTGGGAAGTTCTCACAGAGAACATCAATTGGAGTGTTCCTCTTTGTGTCCCCAATCTTCTGGTATCTCTCTTTTAATGTATCAGCCTGTGTAAGGCAAATATATATTTTAAGAGGGTTAGGCTACGCAGTAAGGCAAGCCACTCTCTTCCCCTCTCTACCGCCCATATGCAACATGGGGATAATATTGACCTATTTTATCAAGTTGTTGTAAACTAAGATTATGTAAAGCCATTTGAGCACTATAAAGTACCATATACACATTACTTGTTACTACTATTGCATGAACAGATCTGCATGTGCAAGCTCACACAACATGGCTTTCCTGCCAGCTCCCTGACCCATTACAGCCAGTCTGCACCCTCTCCGAACCTCCTCTTTCTACACAGCCCAGAAAAGGGGTGTTTGAAGTTATTTTGAAACGTGCTCTTTACAAGAACGTTTACTCTAAGACCATTACTATCTATAATCATGATAATCAGCAAGTTGAGAGCGACTCTACTAAGCTAATTATCTCCTTCACCCATTAACTCTCTAACCCTTTGCTGTATTCATCCTGACAAAGGACTTCCATCTGCACCACTGCACAGCTCATCAAGCATCTGTTTACAACAGAAGATCTAAAAAGGATGGGAGCCTGATCCTTCCCACCCAATAAAAGCCTATTCTAGATTTTTCTCCTTTATTTGCACACTAGACCTCTTTTTTGTTACTGTTCCTTAATGATGTTCCAAGAACAAAACAAGGGGAGTTGATGCTAAACCTCTGCGTGGGAGGCCTCCTCCTTTGTGGGCTGACAAATTGGATGTGAGGGACTCCAGCTGTGAAGTGGACAGGAGGGACTAGGCAGATGAAGAAAGATTATACAGAGAAAAATCAGGCAAAATGAAAATGGGAACTAAAGGGAAGCTTGAAAATGAAGGTGGTAGCCGTGTTGGTCTGCCGTAGTCAAAACAAAGTAAAAAAAATTCCTTCCAGTAGCACCTTAGAGACCAACTAAGTTTTTAATTGGTATGAGCTTTCATGTGCATGCACACTTCTTCAGATATCTGAAGAATATTTGGTCTCTAAGGTGCTACTAGAAGGAATTATTTTATTTTGTTTTGAAAATGCAGTTCATCTGGACTGGGGCGACATTAAGGATAAGAGGTGCAGTAGGAGAAGCATGTCTTGCACTCATATTTAGCTGCTCAGTAAAGAATATGTCAGCAATTAAAAACAAAAGGGCAAGACATGCAACTTCCCCTGGCTGACTATCAGGATGAAATTCAAAGTTGACTAGCAAACTGAAGAGTATCATAGTGAGTGGAGCTTGGGCAATGAACCAGTCAGGGCCAGCTTGCCCATGAAGACGGGTGAAGTGCCCCACCTCAGGTGGCAGAAATGCGTGAGGTGGCGCCCCACCTGCCCCACCACTTCCGCTGCCATAAGGGAGACGTTCTAGCATCCAAACATTGCCTCTCACTTCCCCGCACCTGGGGTGGGAGAAGCCAAGCGGTAACGCTTGAGGGGTGCCCTGGTTCCTGCCAAGCTTGGCAAGATCAAAGACATTTCTGTGTGACATGCTGCCGCTCAGCCCTCACCTCCCAATGAGGAGGAGGAGAAGCCAAATGTCAACACTTTGAGGAGTGCAAAGTTCAGTTAAATCCAGGCACAGAAGTAGTATTGGGGAGTGAGGAGTGAAGACAGGAGGTGGGAAATCCTATTTGCCTCAGGTGGTGAAACAGGAAGAGCCACCCCTGCCACCAGTTATCACTGCCCAAAGCCATGTTTTCTTAAAAACTGTACAGTCATACCTTGGTTGATGAACGTCTTGCGAGTCAAACGTTTTGGCTCCCAAACACCACAAACTCGGAAGTGAGGTGTTCCAGTTTGCTAACATTCTTTGGAACCTGAACATCCGACACGGCTTACGCAGCTTCCGATTGGCTGTAGCCAATCAGAAGCCGCACCTTGGTTTCCGAATGTTTTGGAAGTCGAACGGATTTCCAGAACGGATTCCATTTGACTTCCAAGGTACCACTGTACAAGTAAATCTGAATCCTCAGAGAAGAGAGTAAAGCCTCTACGTCAAACAGGAAGTATCTGCCGGCAGCTATTATATTGAGCAACACACTTTAGCAAATACCTTAAGGCCTTGCCAGGGCAAACTGCCTCGAAGGAAATACATGAACATATGTCCAAGGGCTTCCAAGTCATCTCGACGACTTTGCTCTGAAAAGATGTAAGAAAATGCACCACTGCTTTATCCGCTCTATCAGAAATGCCCTACTAAACTACATTCCTAGCTCTGGCACAATGTGGAAAACATTTGTAGGCATCAGGGAGCACAGAAGGGGAATATTGTTCAAAGACTCCTGATTGGCCATGAAGTCTTAGTGTAGATTTATTTCTATTTACAAAAAGACATCCCTGCTTCATGCTCTATGGATAAACTGGCTCCAAATCTGATACAGCTATTTTATTAAAGTGGTCTTTAGCTTATGCAAGTCTGGAATAAAAACCCCAGCACTATGGTAAAAAATAGGATTTACAGTCGTACCTCGGGTTAAGTACTTAATTCATTCCGGAGGTCCATTCTTAACCTGAAAACTGTTCTTAACCTGAAGCACCACTTTAGCTAATGGGGCCTCCTGCTGCTGCCCACGCCGCCGGAGCACGATTTCTGTTCTCATCCTGAAGCAAAGTTCTTAACCTGAGGTACTATTTCTGGCAGAGTCTGTAACCTGAAGCGTATGTAACCTGAAGCGTAGGTAATCTGAGGTGCCACTGTATAGGGTTGCTTATGCAACCTCTACAAGATGGATAAATGTGTTCTTTCAAGTATGACATAGCCTATGCTGTGAAGCTTCCAAGATTTTCAACCGAGTACAGTGCACTCTACTAGTGTGAGGACAAAGCATTACAGGGAATGAGAAGTCAAGATTGCAAGGACAGTAAAACAGTGGATCACACAAGTGCAACTACCAAGGCATTTACATAAGTAGCCAAACAAGAAGCACTCTGGAAGCTAAATAATGCTTTGGGTGTTTTATGCTAGAACTGGCTTACAGGTTGACATAACAGAACAAACACATTTGCTAAAAATCTATTTCAGAGTTTCAAAAAGCTATCAATATCAAAACAGCTAAGGACAAAACTGTGTGTATATGGGCAAGAACAAAATGCAAATGGAACTTGAAAAGTGCAAGGAAACTGAACTATTGAAGAAGCTAGTCAGATGAAAACCATTAATGGACAAAATGAAAAGCTACTGCTGTTGGTAGGTTTTCATTTGGTCTGGTAAAGGCTATTTTATGTATATTATTTGTAATCAACATACCGTATTTTTCTGTTTAGATGCTCTGTGTATAAGACACCTGCTATTTTTTGGGACTCAAAATTAAGTAAATGCACTATGCACTATCCGTGTATAAGACGACCCCTTATTTTAAACTTCAAAAATTTAGGAAAAAATATAATCTTATACACAGAAAAATACGGTATGTTGATTACAAATAATATACATAAAATAGCCTTTACCAGACCAAATGAAAACCTACCAACAGCAGTAGCTTTTCATTTTGTCCATTAATGGTTTTCATCTGACTAGCTTCTTCAATAGTTCAGTTTCCTTGCACTTTTCAAGTTCCATTTGCATTTTGTTCTTGCCCATATACACACAGTTTTGTCCTTAGCTGTTTTGATATTGATAGCTTTTTGAAACTCTGAAATAGATTTTTAGCA